CTTCTCCTCCCTTCTCCTCCCTTCTCCTCCCTTCACCTCCCTTCTCCTCCCTTCTCCTCCCTTCACCTCCCTTCACCTCACTTCTCTTCCCTTCTCCTCCCTTCTCCTCCCTTCACCTCCCTTCTTCTCCCTTCTCCTCCCTTCACCTCCCTTCTCCTCCCTTCACCTCCCTTCTCCTCCCTTCACCTCACTTCTCTTCCCTTCTCCTCCCTTCACCTCACTTCTCTTCCCTTCACCTCCCTTCTCCTCCCTTCACCTCCCTTCTTCTCCCTTCTCCTCCCTTCACCTCCCTTCACCTCCCTTCTCCTCACTTCTCCTCCCTTCTCCTCCCTTCACCCTTCTGTGAATAGCCGTGTGAGCCTGGAAGGACCTACTGTGAGGACCTGGATCAGGACTACGAGTGACCACCTGCAGCACGTACAGTCACCTTCATTCAGCACAGATCTTTAGAGCAGCAGGCCCCAACTCCCCACCCTGAGAATACATCACGTTGTTGTTGTTGGTACCTTTTGCCACGCCAGTTCCCACTCTCTTGAACTCAGGATTCAGAAGTCTTGTGCCATCTTCCATGCCTGAGATACTGAGCCCTGAAAGACAGGGACCCCCGGTATGGGTAAAAAAGACATCTGCCGCCAAATTTCCGGAGGAAATCTCAGCCGCCCTCCTACCACGGGCGATGTTTGGGAGATGCAGAGGCTCGGTCAGCAAACATTGCTTGCAAATGACAAATGCAGTGCAGATGGGGTTGCTGCTTTACATGGGTAATGGGGTCCTGTCCACCAGTGGTGATTGGCAGGCAGCGATCCGTGGCACAGTGAGGGCTCGGTACCACTGTACTGGGATCTTTTGGCTGGAGGCAATGTGAATTAACAGGCGTGGCAGACCACGAATCTCACACCCACAGCGGGATGTTGGGCAATATACAGCTCAGACACTTCACTGGGATCACATGCATAGGCCATGTGCGGGCAAATGAGACTATTGGGTCATGTGGTAAGGATATTGTACTGCAAAGATTCACATATCAAGAACATGTAAGGAAACGGTGTCCGTGTTCCGTGACAACCAGATGCCCCCTCTGTTTATTTCTTGCCGTAGAAACAGAAACTGGAGTCACACTGGTTGCTGCTGGTGGCAGGGACACTTTCCACCAATCAGATTGTATAGATTGCATGAATCAAGTGACTGATGCTGTATATTGATCCCGGCTCATCCCTCTGTTACCAGAGAACACGGACAAGCCTGCCCATTGCCTCCGTGTGCCACGGGTATAGAGGGAGTGGTATATAATATATTTCTGCCCATAGCAAAGCATTGTGTGAGGAGGACAGTGCCTGTGTGCACCAACATGACGGCCGGGCGCTTCTCTGTCCTGCTATAGGGAGGTCACATGACGTTCAGGCAATGAGCTTCCATCGGGTGGACGGTGAAATGAGAACGGGACGGAACCAGCTCTGAACTTTTCAGCATCCGCTCGTCACAATTTGTCCTACGTCCCGATCATAACGCACAGCAGAGGAAATTCCTCAATGGAAATGGTGACCACACTGCGTGCAACAGATTCACTGAGCAAATTCGGAGCTGGCCCCTCCTCCGCAGGCTCATGCAAACTGGTTTGGAAAGACAGAAAAAAAGGCGTTTACAGAGCAGGTGATTGGAGGACCGGACCCGGCAACAGCTAAAAGTACTGCTGGACCCCCAAACTGCATGACCCCGTGGTCCCCAGAAAGTCTGCAATACACTGGCCACTCCTTTTCAGGCCCTGACCACTGATACGCAACCCGGGGCCCCAAATTTGAGGATGTGGAACATCAGTTGTCTAAGTAATGTATTGCTATCCTTAGATGCCCCCAGAGGGGGAAGTAGGAACATTTGGCCTGGGGAGCCAATGCCACCAACTTGCCCTTTCTGCTATCTAAAGAACGTGTGCCGTGCTGCCTCATTGGTGGGCATAGTGAAAAGTGGGCCTTCCTGATGGGCATGGTTTCACCTTTCCCCATGTTCCATAACTTCCATTGGAGGTCTAAGAATTCAGTCACATGACATCTCTGAGGCACAATGGAAGTTGGTGCCGGAGCCGGGATTGGAGGTCTGAATGGGGAGCAGATAGCTGTATACATAGTATAGTTACATAGTATTTCAGGTTGAATTAAGACACAAGTCCATCAAGTCCAACCCATAGCGTGTATGCATGTGGTTCTGATATCACGCCTGGGATGTGTCGCTGACTGCAGACCCCACACCGGTCAATGCTTGAAGGGTGAAGTATCTTCACTTAGGGACACCAGCCTATCATATCGTATTAGTAATACACTAGAGACAGACACAGAGGACACATACAGGTATCTAGAGATCAGATCTCTATGGCTGGTGACACCCCCAACGCCTCTTGCCGCTGTCTTTTCACAGACACTAATAATAAACCCTTTAATAATTCAGCACAAGATGGATGATCGCATGCGGCATCCGCACAGCCTCTCTGTGAAGGAATCTTGGATATCATGCATCAACCGCCATTAAACAGCAGCAGATCAATAGAAGGCGGGTCCATGCTACACCCGTAAACATCCACGCCGCTGCCTCATGCACTGTTAAAGGGACATACCCGCCGGGCCGAGCCGTGATTGGCTGAAAGTTTGCCTATCAGCAGGCTCGGTGCTGGGAATTCATTATCTGGCGGTTGGCACGGTAAGTGACATTTATTCCTCCGTAATGAAATGGCGGGTTATGAGCCCGTTTGGTGGATTTATGGAGACGTTCTGCTGATTCATTTATATACCATGTTCCGCCACGACTAGCCAATAAATGTTACTTTAATCAGCGTTTAAACGCTGCGTTAAATATGGCAGCCGCATTACCTTCTGGAAAGTATGAAGGTTTATTATGGATGACAGATTACAGGAGGCCACTTATAGAGTCCCTTTAACTGTTATTTTAAGAATTCCGCCTTTGGATGAGAATTGGGTATCATTCCAATGATGAGCATGCAGTGGGGGCGGGGGGGGGGGGGGGGGCCTGTT